GTGTAATGACGATAGATTTAGGTTTTTCAGACCATCGTGCTGTTTTGGCAGAGGTGGCATGGGAAGGGATGGTTTGTAGGTATGTGGGCTATTGGAAAATGAATGTGAGGCTACTTCAGGGGGAGGGGGAGGGGTTGTTTTTTAGGGAATGGTGGAGGCAACTCTGGGAGGTTCACAACAAAGAGGAGGATGTATTGGAATGGTGGGAGAAGCATGCAAAATTGCAGATTAAGGAGTATTATCAGCATAGAGGACGGGATGAGGCGAGGTGGAGGTTTGGTTTACAGAAATATTTTGAGGGGCAGCTCAATGATTGTTATGAAGGGGGAGGGGGGCTAGACATGGAGAAATAGAGGTTTTAAGGGGAAGATTGAGGGATATACAAAATTCTCGTTTTGATGCGATACGTGTGAGGGAAGGTTTAGAGGAGGTTCTATGGGGTGACAAACCGTCAGGATGTGTTTTGAGGAGATTTAAGAATAGGCAACAGATGACCACGATTATGGAATTAGAGGTGTGTAAAGGGGTGGGGGGATATAGGGTGGGGCAGGTACTTAGTACCAACGATGGAATGAGTAATTTTTTTTATATTTTATTTAAAACGTAATATTACAACATAAAAAATAAATATATAGAAAACCACTATCCCTTAACAAACAGGTATCCAAAATAGAATTCATAAGCACAGTACACCATATGAATTGCGCAACATTCCGACGGTCGCTATATACACTTCGAGCCACCTAGGCATAAATAAAAATCAGATAAGAGCTTTGTGGCCCACATATGTCATCCTACTACAAAAGTGCACTAAAAGACATGCTATAATAAATCATATATACCCTATCTCCTCCACCATAATAGATATTATATAATCACATAGCTAGACCTATAGAATATATGTTTAGGAACATATTTTATAATACTTAAAACATTATGACAAAATAATATTACAAAACATCAATACACAAATAATATAATTACCATGCAAACATGCATCCTTATACCTGGACTAAATTTCCCTTGTATCGTAACTCTCACAGAATGATAATACACGAGGTCCTATGAACCTTCTAACACAACCATCTTACATCACTTTTGTCTGTTATATACAATTCACCACTAAACACCACCTTGATCATCCCTTAAATGCTTTCCACTCAAGGCTTCCTAACCATAATATTGCCACTTACGGCATACATTACACATTACATAATAATGACGGTATTTATACCAGAGCTATCAATACTAAATTAGATATTTAACAAAGTGTCGCCTAACACTGAAGAATTTTAATTTATATGTTATTTAAAATCATACATAAGACAATATGTTAAGTTTATATTTCCAACACTTGTGAAGATTTTTTTTTTTATCTTAAAGAACATTACTTTCACACACTCACACTACATTCACACACATTCACCTCCATACCCAAAGCACTTCACACTTGCACACAGTTTTACTTGTTCTATTCCTGCAACAGCAACCAGAATCAGACTAGTTACCACCCAACCATAATCCATTACACTACATACCATCCACCCATGTCATTCGCTAAAACCATGCCCATACATGCCACCACCACTGAAAACCCGACTACCAAAGAAAACCAGTCCCCTACATGGTTATCACTGTACCAATTGCAGGAGACGACTGACTGTGAGCTCTCTGTAGTTCTCTGGAAAACAAGCTCCCCACTGACTCCCATAAATAAGTTTGTTCCTACCAGCAGTCCTGTATATACACGCTGCAATTGCCTTAATTCTAATCCTACCCCCCAGCATCTCTCATTCCCCAGGAAATATACAGAAAATCCACTACCACATACATAATCGCCCTTTTTACCTCCCATGATACCCCTTTTACCTCTAATGTTAAAGCTCGCAGGGTCTCTACATTACCCCCACCTAGCAGACAAAAAACCCTCGCCAACCACATCCATACCTCCCTCAATTCTTCACAAAAATAAACCGCATGAAATGCCGTTTCCAGCTCACCACACTGACTGCAGGATGGTTCCCTCACCAAACCCATTAAACTCAAAACTGCTTTTGAAGCTAGGATCCCCATCATGAATCTGTATACCAACTCATGTACCCTAGGCATTAACCTGAGCCTCCGGAAGTCTTCCCATATTGTCCCCCAATCATACAATGGATAGACCGATACGCCCTGCAAGATTTCCGTCCTCCCACTCAACGATACCAAATGCCCCACTTTAAGTCGCTCAACACCTTTAGCCAATAACAAAACCCTCAGCAAATCCTCACATTCAATTAACTCTTTACCTCCCCACCATCTCTGCACATCCCCCATCACCTTCCCCACTCTTACCCCTCTTTCCCCTCCAGCCCTGACGAATGACTGTTTTACATATATGGCTTTCACCCTCGGCCCCAATGCTAAAAGACCCACTCCCCCTCTGCGCACATTCGACATCACCACTTCGTTGCTCAGCCATGCCCTCCCAAAACCCCAAACATAACATACAGCTCGTCTCTATTTCTTGTACGTCCTGTGTTCTCAAAGGATACACTTCCGTTATACCCCAAACCTTACTGTAAACCAGCGAATTAACTATTACCGCCCTCTGCTGTAATGTGACATCTCCCGCCCATAAACCCCCTAATCTACTCACTACTTTCTCCACTACCCCCTCTGAATTTACCTGCCTAGCCTCCTGCGCATTTGCCATGTATAAAACTCCACAAATCTTCAAATTATCCACCACTGCCCACCCAAACTCCAACCCCAAGCCCCCCCCACCCAAGCACCCACCTCCAGTAAACACGATTTCGCCCTATTAACTCTCATGCCAGACGCCTCCCCAAAAATCCCCAACATCCTCCCCACCGTACGCAATCCCTCCACCCCTTCTATCAGGATAGTGGTATCATCCACATACCCCACAATGCCTAAGCGCCCTTCCCTCTCCCCATTTAATGCTCCCACCCCCTCAACGAGCCCATAGAACGGATGTTGCATACACGCAAACAGAATTTGTGAAAGAGGGAATCCCTGCCGTAATCCCCTCTCCATTTTAACCAGCCTTCCCAATCTGCCATTAACTTGGACCCTTACCATAGCTGATGAGTATAGCGTATCTACCCACCACGCCACTCCCAGTCCAAACCCCAGACGCAACAAACAAGCCCTCAAAAATTTTCTATTCACACAGTCATATGCATTCTCCCAATCAATACCCAAAAGTCCTTCCCCCTCGCAACCCTCCAAAAAGTCCCTTATGCGCCCATGCCCAACTCTCATACTTCGTCCCGGTATACCCATCTGACCCCTATGTACAACCCCACCAATTACCTTCTTCATCCTATTACCTAATATCTTTGCAAAAATCTTGTAGTCAGAACACATTAGTGAAATAGCTCTATACACACTTAAAACACTTCCCACTTGCTTTTTGCGAACCAATACAATCACTCCAATACTTTGTGTCTGACTTAGCTTGCCCTCCCACAGCATACAATTCATCATCTCCACCAGACAAGTCTTAACCCTTAAACGGTCCAAACGTATATATACATTCACTCGCGTAGCGCCCCAAATTTTTTGAGGAAAAAAAATCTTTTCTTTTAAAAGAAAAAAAGAGCATATGGTACCCAGGCACCCCCAATTATTTTAATATGGCGCATAGTGAGTGCGCACACCCATTCTCTCATGTCTAGGTGACTCAGGCTTATTGTGGCAATGTTGAATGAATGACAAAGAAAACGTATATATACGTTTGGGGCGCTATGCGCATGAACGTACATATACGTTTGGACCGTTTAAGGGTTAATATGCTCCCAATGAACTCTGCAAAAATCATTTGAAATCCCATCGATGCCTGGTGCTTTTCCAGTACTCATGTTAAACACTGCCTCCTCAACTTCCCCCACACTAATTGCTCCTCCTATCTCCATCCCCTCCACTTCTTTCTGCCCTAACCCACACCCCCCCTCCAACACTTCCTCAAAAGCATCGCCCTCCCCCCCCTTTCTCCATTTCTCTCGAAACCAGCAATCAGTATAATTACTCATGCCTTCTGTAGTAGTAAGCACCTGACCCTTATGATATCCACCCATATCCTCGCTCACCTCTAATTGCAATATAGCTGACTCCTTCTGCCTTACCCGAAAACGTCTTAAAACACTTCCCGAAGGTTTATCCCCCTACAATACAGCCTCCAATCCTGCCCTCACTCGCACAGCATCAAATCTGTCATTGTGTACCTCCACCAGTCTACCTCGAAGTTGCTCCACGGTCCCATACTGCCTCCCCATTTCCTCCTCATAACACTCGTTCAGCTGACATTCCAAATAATTCTGTAACCCATACCTCCACCTGGCCTCTTCCCGTCCCCTATTTTTAGAGAATCCAGCAATACCCGGCTTAGCTCGCTTCTCCCACCATTCCAAGACACACGACCCCACATCCCTTGATCCCCAAAAAGAGTGCCACCAATCCCCAAAAGCCTCACACACCCCCTCCCCCTTCACAAGTCTCGCATTTAATTTCCAATAACCAGTGTGTATCCTAACCATACCCTCCCAATCAAGATCCGCAATAACCACCCTGTGGTCAGAAAACCCCACATTGAAGGTCCTAACTCCCAGAACGCGTATTGCCTCCGTAGCATAGAGCCTATCCAGTCATGCAGCATAACCTCTTTGTACAAATGTATACTCAACCCTCCAACCACCACTCCCCACTGCATCTAAAACTCCCACATCCCCCAACACATTGCGTAAAAACCCCAACACACACCCCGACCCCCTCGGTTCCACATCACCCTGTCGTATGACACAATTCCAATCTCCTCCTATCACGGTAACTAAAGGCAATCCCCTCAAATAAAAAAGCAAAACAACCCTCACGAAAGTTACCTTAACTGTTGCATTTCCATCCGCCGGTATGTATATTCCTATAAAACAAACCCTTGTCTCACCCCACTCTCCCTCTACCCGCACCACCCTTCCACCCCCACCCTCCTCCCACCCCAACACACGTAAGGGACTGGTTTCCTTCACAGCCACAGCAACCCACCCTTTTAACCTCACCGATCCACTCACATATAACTTACATCCCTTCAAACGCAACTCACATCCAAACTTGTAATTATGCTCCTGTATGAAACATATATCTAAATCAAATCTCCTCAAAAACCATTCCATCCACACTCTCTTAATCTCAGCTCTCAGGCCGTTAACATTAATGGTGACCACCTTGAATTATTACAATAAAGGCGGCTTCCCCCGCCGCTTTTGAAGGTTGCTCGAAAGACGTGGCTGTTGACTATAGCCACGTTTGTCACTTGGTCTATCCAGACCTCTGATCCCCCCCTTTTCCTTCAACCCTTGCAGCACCACAGAACCGGTGCCACCATTCCCCGGGAGATCTAGCACGGTTTTCCAAGGTTTCTTTCCAGATCTCTGCCCTGGTGTTAAGACATCTTCCATATCAGACGTCCCAGCTGCTTGCTTACGTGTGCCACCTCCACACGTTGCCTCAGCATCCATGTCCTCCTGGTGCACCTCAACCACTACCGTGTGCTGCTTACTCTCGTTGCACAAGGTGTCCTCACACTCCTGTGCAGCTGCTACCCCCTCCAATGCCCTCCCATCCTTCTCCCCTTCCTGACTGTCTTCCACCTCCCCCAAGAAGTCTTTCAAGACCTTGTCCAACAGACCATCCTGTTGTAAGTCACTTCTGTCAACAATCGCACCCGTAGATGGTCGCTCAGACACAGTTCCCACAGGTAACGTGGCGCATGCTCCCAACTCCAACTCTGCTCTGTCTACTTCTTCACTCCAACTTCCAGTCGCCTGGCTTGCAGCTTCACCTGTCCCAGGTGCCAAGGAGCCCAGCTGTCGTTCCACAGTTGGTGGCGCCTGTTCCCTCCGTCCCTGCCTTTGATGACATTGGGCCGCCATATGGTCATAAGACCCACACAGCCTACGTTGTCCTGCATAATACAGTGGCCCCCCGGTATTCGATGGCATCGGTATTCGATAAATCCGGTATTCGATGCATTATATCACAAAAAATTTTCCTCGGTATTCGATTGAAAACCCAGTATTCGATATGATTCGTACGAGACCTGTCCACGTGTGGCCTGAACTGCCCTGTGTGTGCCAGTGTTTACAAGCCAGCCAGTGTGCGCGCATCTAAGGATACATTCAGTACATTCCATATTATCACTGTGTTTTGTGCTTGTTTCTGCAAAATAAGTCACCATGGGCCCCAAGAAAGCTTCTAGTGCCAACCCTGTGGTAAAAAAGGGTGAGAATTAGTATGGAAATTAAGAAAGATTTTGAAGGGTTTGGGGCTAACCCTGAGAAGCCTATGCCAGTTGTGGAATCCATTGTGCCTACTTCAAAAATTAAGGAAATGTGTGCAGAGTGGGTTGAAGTGCAAACCTTTATGGATGAAAATCACCCTAACACAGCTATTGCAAGCCGTGCTGGTGACTATTACAATGACAATGTTGTGGCCCATTTTAGACAAATCGTAAAGGAACAGGAGGTACAGAGCTCTATGGACAGATTTGTTGTGCGACAGAGGTCCAGTGACTCTCAAGCTGGTCCTAGTGGCATTAAAAGAAAAAGGGAAGTAACCCTGGAAATGGACTTGCTACCTCAAGTCCTAATGGAAGGGGATTCCCCTTCTAAACACTAACACCTCTCCCCTCCTTCCATCCCATCAATCATCACCAGATCTTCATTAAAGGTAAGTGTCAATTATTTTATTGTTATTGTAATTATTCTATTGCATTAAACTTAATATTTCATGTAGTAAATTTTTTTTTTTCATACTTTTGGGTGTCTTGCACGGATTAATTTGATTTCCATTATTTCTTATGAGGAAAATTGATTCGGTTTTCGATATTATCGGTATTCGATGAGCTCTCAGGAACGGATTAACATCGAATACCGGGGGTCCACTGTATACATAAACCTGTGTTCTGAACTCTTCCATCAGAACGTACGATGGTATAGGTTGTCTCAATGTCATCTTCAAGGTGAAAGATCCCTCTGGCAGCCCCATATAAGGCCCATCCTTCCACACTCCCAACTCTGCCGAATGGATCTTGCCATACCTACGGAATACCTCCACATCATCATATTCCAAGGCCTCAAAGGGGACATTTCTCACCTTTACCCACGTTACATAGCTTGATATGTCATGTAGGCAGACCTCCACTGCAGAATTAACGGTCATCCTCTTTTCTTGGAATGCATCAACTATGCTGGAGTAAAACCCAGCACTCTTGAACTTGATGAAGATCCTGGACACTCCATTCACTGCTACACCTTACAACTCGTCGTTCGGTATGCTGTACACATCGCGGATGATACTTGACAGAAGCACCTGCATTGTAGAACTACTCAGGGTACCACGTACCAGCTCCACACAGACAGTATTTACCCTGCGTCCATGTCTGTCCGCCATTTTGATTGCTACTGCACAGCCTGTCCACACGGCCCAGGAGCGATGAGGACAATGGAATGAGTAATTATGCTGATTATTGGTTTAGGGAGAATTTTAAGCAGGGGGAGGGAGGGAGGGAGAGATTCTAGGAGAAGGAATTCGGGGTATTTTAGGGGAGGAGAGAGCAGTAATAGAGGGTAGGATCAGTGAGGAGAAGGTGGAGGAGGCGGTAATGGGCTTGAGTAGGGGAAAAGCACCGGGCGTTGATGGAATTCCTAATGATTTCTATATTACACATTGGGATTGTATGAAGGAATGTCTGGTCTTGTTTAACTGTATGAAGGAAAGGGGAGTGTTGGGGGAATCGCAGGGCACGGGGGTAGTTGTTTTGGTCTATAAGGGAGGGGGGAAGACCTTGGGTGCTTTTAGGGCAATCTCCCTCATGTGTACTGATTATAAAGTTTTTGCGAAGGTTTTAGGTAATCGTATGAAAAAGGTGCTTGACTGAGTCCTACATAGAGGACAATGTAGGATTCCAGGTCGAAGTATGCGTGAGGGGCATGGAAGAATTAGGGATTTTGTGGAGGGTAGACAAGGGGGGGGGATCTTGGGGATTGATTGGAAGCAGGCTTATGACAGTGTAGATAGACATATGTTGTGGAGTATTTTACAAAAACAGGGTTTTGGGGATGAGATTGTGCACTGGGTGACTACTTTGTATATGCCTGCAAGGGCCAGGGTACAGGTTAATGGGAAGTTAGGGTTGCTGGTGCAGTTGGGGAAGGGTTTGCGACAGGGTTGCCCCTTGTCTCAAATCCTCTTTGCATGCATGCAGGACCCTTTTTATAGGCTTATAGAGAAAGGAGTGTGGGAACAGGGAGAGGAGGGTCCTGGCAGATGTGGTATTGTGCGGTATGTGGATGACACCACAGTTTTGGTGGGAGGGGAAATAGGATTGGGGAATGTGGGATGTATAATAGAGATTTTTGGTGGGGCGACAGGGATAAGGGTTAATGGAGCAAAGTCAAAGTTATTAGAAGTAGGCACATGGGTAGGGGAGGGGGGGAACTGTATGGGTGGAACAGTGGATAGAATTAAGATATGTGGGGTTGTGTACATGGCGGATGCTGGGGAGGCGCAGAGAATAAATTCCAAGGAAGCTGTGAGTAGAGCGATGGGTAGGATGCGCGGGTGGAGGGCTGGGGATGTAACGTTGCAGCAGAGGGTGGTGGTAGTAAACACACTTGTGTACAGTAAAATGTGGGGAGTGGCAGAAGTATATCCCCTGAGGTCGTGTGATATTCAGGAACTGGAGAGGGTGGTTTTGAGGTATGTGTGGGGTTATGGGAAGCCATGGCTACGGAAGGAGGTGGTGATGATGGGCGTGCGGCAGGGTGGGCTGGGTCTTATACCTTTGGACACACGAGTGAAGGCAGTGTATGTGAAGCAGTGGTACTTGAGGGTGGGAGGGGAGAGGGGTAGAAGGGTGGGAGAGGTAATGGAGGATGTGCAAAAATGGTGGAAGGGGAAGGCACTACTGGTGTGTGAAGATATGGTGCGTAATTTGTTGGCAGTATGGGATGCAAAAAAAAGTAAGGTTAAGTAGGCTTGGGAGGACAGGTAGGCAGGGTAAAGTGATACAGGGAGTAGCAACATACCCGATGTATGATTGGAGGGGCATTTGGGAAGACTTTCAGAAGATCAGATTAAAGCTAAGAGTTCATGAAGTGGTTTATAGATTCTTTATGGGAATTCTAGCTACAAGGTCAGCGCTACATAGAATGGGCTATGTAGGTGCGGGCACTTGTTTGCATTGTGGGGAAGAGGAGACTGCTTTTCATGCTGTATATTTTTGTGAAAACTTGGAGGTTGTAAGGACATGGTTAGCAAGGGTCCTGGGTATAGTGGCGGGAGGGGGGAGAAACATTTCGACTTTGAGGGCTTTGCATTTTGATGTGGGTGGGGTTTCCAAGGACATTCGGAGGGCAGTGATGTATGTAGTGGCAGATTTTTTGTATGTGTCTTGGTGCATGCGGGAGGTGGGGGATGATTGTAGGGTGCGGACGCTTGCGGCGAGTGTGTATCGTACAGTTTGCAGAAATAGGCTACTATATGGGAGGGTGTGGGTAAATAGTTTTCCCTTGGGTTATCGTAATCTGACGGTAGGTGTAATGTTAGGGTTGGGTGTAGTTTAGAGCTGGAATGGGTTGTTTCTCCCTAAACTGGCATTTTTGTTCCGTTTTGAGATTAGTGGAGGAGGGGAAGGGGGGAAATAAAATTTTGGGGTTGGAATATAGGGGTTGTCAAGCGTTGGGAATGAGGGGGGGGGGGTAGGGGGGTGAAGGGTGACATTGGTTAAGAGACAGGGGCTTTAGACTTTAGAGTAGGTACGGACTTGAGCTAAAAGGGGAACGTGATTTTGTTTTTTTAATCAGAAGCTGGGGTGGCTTTCTGAAGTGTTTTTCCCAGGATGGTTTTTTTAAGAGAGGAATACTGCTCTGTACTGTTTTATTAGGACCCATAAGTTATATTATGTAATTAGGCGTGGCAAAGTTGATATTGCTCGGAACATTGTTAATAAATATATTTTCGTTGAATGAAAAATAATAAAAAGGGAATGTGTATTGGTGTGGTTTCAATTTTAGTGTACTGTTACCATTTTAGTTGGTACCCTTCCTTTGTCAAGAAATTATATTATATATTGTTATAAGTTTTTTTTAGTTCTTATTTTATAAGTTTAAGGAACAAATTAAGATGTTGTGACGTTAGTGATGGCATTTATCTTGCATGGGGAAAAGGGGAAGTGTAATTTAATTATGATTGGTATAAGATTTTGCATTGTGTAGTACACTGTATTAAAAGACGGGAAGGATTGTGGGATTATCAATATTTATTAAAATTTTTATGTAAATTTCATGGAAAATTTAGCGAATAACAATGTACCCTATTAGTCATGTAAGTAAATTGATATTTTTTGCTCTTGTAAAAATTTTTATTTATGAAATGTATTTAAATTGGGATTTAGCATTGGAGAAAGAGAAAAAGCATTGGGATGGGGGAATTTGTGTCAGCACAAAAAAGAACCAGCTTGATTTAGAAAAAAGGAAATTTTTTATTTTTTTCTGTGGGGGAGTCGATAAGGGTTCTTTTTTTCTTTTATTTTAAAGTAGAATGTATTTTAAATAAAATTAAAAAAAAAAAAAATTCCATCAATGCTGATGGTGGTTATGAGTGGTGATGGGAGAACAGTTACTAGGGATGTAGGGGGGGGGGGGGTTTAAGTGTCGCGGTAGTGTTTAAATCCACCACCGGCACAATATTGATTATTACCATAGGGTATATGAGGGTTAGGGTGTGGATTGTGTTCTATGGTGGATGTGAGCCATCATGTTCAGATATTCCTTGTATTATAGTCAGCCGTTTAGATGGCTGGATTGTGTTTATATATTTCGTCATTGAAGTCCTTAATGCTCTTATAAATGTATAAGAGATTTGTCAATGAGTATACTAAGGTGAAAGTGGTACATTTTCAAGGGGGGGGGGGAGTGTAAGCATTACTAGGTAGGACTCTATCGTTTTTTTTATAAGACCATCTTTTCACGTGAAGCACAGTACATATAAGCAGTGTTTGATTTGAGTGCAGCCAGTTCTGATGTCATTATATAAGTGCTTCTTCGGTATTTGTGTAGTCACAGCAGATTATTGTTTTACTGCCTGTATCTTGTTACATATTGATTATGTACCCATATATTTGTACCCGAGTTTTAAATAAAATATAAAAAAAAGAAATTCGTCTATAATGAAAAAGTGCTTATCAATAAAATACAACAATACTTTTAGCTGTCAGTTAAAAAATATTTCTTCACAAACAAATAGACAACATTTTTAAATTGTATACATGAAAAACTTGTCAATGCTGTACAACTTCTTAGTGTCAGATTGTTCAGTATTACAACTTGCAAAGCAGCTCTGGCTCCCTAGTTTTGCTTGTAATAAATAAAAATTTGCTGGAAATGATTGAATTACTATGTCAAGAGTTACATCTTGTGAAGTATAATGCATCTTAATTCTAGACAAAGACTTTTCAGTTTATTAACCCAGAGGGTTTTAACACAGGATAAAAAAAAAATCAGTGGGGCTTACTTCCACTGGATTACATTGTTCCTCTCTAGGAGGAAACTGGACAAGTATCTTCACCAGGTGCCAGATCAACCAGGCTATGATGGATATGTGGTCAGCAGGCCACCAGCAGCAACAGCCTGGTTGACAAGGCAAACACCAGATGAGCCTGGCCCAAGACCAGGCTCTGGGTGTGGAAAATACTGTATATATTTTCCAGAAATACAGTAGTTATATGTAAATAGATGGCCACACTGTATTTAAAAGAATTATATTATGGAAAATGGGAAACTGGACCTGCACCTGCGCAGACAGAAGAGTCGCCATTTTGTTTGAATTGAATAACACGTTGTGAATAATGGGAAGAATTTTTCGTGCTCTCGAGGTTAAAATTGGGCTGACACCTCTCAAATAGGAGGCGAAATTGTTGGATGTGCATTCCTGCATAACTTGAGATATCAGGCGACTGGACAAGACAGCTCCAGGAACCTCAGATAAGTCTTATGTTGTAACCTGGCCAGTGTTATTTTCATAGATAGACAGTGAGGTTTTCTGAGTATGATACACATTAATCTCCAGTCAAATTGGTGAGTGTTATGATTAAGATATATTCTCCTTCTGTTGTATAAATGTGTGTGTGTGTTATATATATATATATATATATATATTTTATATATATATATATATATATATATATATATATATATATATATATATATATATATATATATATATATGTATATATATATATGTATGTATATTATATTATATTATATATATATATATATATATATATATATATATATATATATATATATATATATATATATATATATATATATATATATATATATATATAATATATATATATATATATATATATATATATATATATATATATATATATATGCATGCAAGGAAT